TTTTTTGTTTGTTTGTTTTTTGTTCATTACATATTATGGGTGGTAACAATGTTTGTTGTTTGATCATATCACTTTGCACTTGCCTTTAAAGTTTGTCCTTCCACTTAACGTCAGACTTTTCTGACTTTTTTACAGAATGGACGTGTGTCTTTCATTGGACACCAACTGGGTGGCGTGCCCTTCTCGCCCAACAGCCGTGACCAGCAGGTCAAGTTTGCCCGTGCGGTCCAGATCACCTACTACCTCCGTAACCACGGACCTGTGGTGCAGGACGCCATCGCAGAGCGTTGGGAGAACGAGTTCTGCGCTATGGTGAACAGGCTATCCATGGCTGAGCCACCGCATGCTACTGACCAGATCCACATCCAGTCTCTCACCTCCTTCAGCCTCTGGCGGGACTTCCACCAGACTGGGATACTGGCCAAAGGGGAAGTCCTGGTCAGCCTTGTTCTGGTGCTCCTGGCTGCCACCATCTCTAGCTCCATGCGGGATTGCCTGAGGGGGAAGCCTTTCCTTGGCCTTCTGGGGGTGCTGACCATTTGCATCGCCAATGTGACGGCTGCAGGGATTTTCTTCATATCTGATGGAAAGTTCAACTCCACCTTGCTGGGGATCCCATTCTTTGCCATGGGTGAGTGGGAGCACTGGGTCTGCTTGTCTTAATCTTTGAATAAATTATTATCAGAGACTTGCAGGCTGCTTGGAGAAGAGATTAGCAGAATCAGCTCATGGCAGCTCATTGTATAGAATGTTACATAATATTTACAAACGTGTGTTTGTGTGTGTCTGAACACACTTTATGAAAGGGACATTCATGGAATGTGTATTTACCAAGAACAATAGATAGCTGATAATGGGGGAAGATGCCGGACAGACCCAGTAGACCCAACGTGTAGTGAGGGTTTTCTGGGAACACCTGGCAGAAAAACCTATCAGAAAGATCAACTCACACCTCTGGGAGAGTTTTAACCGCATCCCAGCTGACGTGGGGGACATTGAGTCAGAGTGGGCCATGTTCCGCGCCTCAGTTGTTGAAGTGGCTGCCTTGAGCTGTGGCCGCCAGGTTGTTGATGCTTCACCACAGGTTAGGGAGGCTGTCAATCTGAAAAGGGAGTCCTATCGGGCCTTGGTGGCTGGTGGGACTTTGGAGGGAGCTGAAGAGTACCTGAGGGCCCAGCGGTCCTCAGCCTTGGCTGTTGCTGAGGCTACAATTATGATGATACATCACATCACATGCTGAAGTGTCCCTGGGCAAGACACTGAACCCCTCATTGCCTCCGATGTGTGTCCCATCAGTGTATGAATGTGATAAAGCACTGACTAGTCTTTGTGTAGATCTAGTAGAGTGCTGTATGAATAGGTAAATGAGGCACAGATTGTGTTGTAAAGCGCTTTGAGTATCTTGATGAGATAGAAAGGCACTATATAAGTACAGTCCTCTTACCATTTACAACATTATCTGTATTTAAACGAAAGTTGAAACAAAGTTTATAGATTTTTAACACATATATTTATTGTTTATTTTTTTGTATTATTATTTTAACATTTTGGGACAATTTCAATTATTATGAGCTATAATCTATTGTATTTGTGCATGTTTATGTGTGTTTACAGCAAGATGTAAGCTTATGAAGCTTTTATGGTTTTCTTTTTTTAGTAGGGGATGTAAGCCCATTCAGAATATTATGACCTCTCTTGCACATTTTGTTTTCATCTTTTCCTTCATGTGCATAGTTTATTTTTTGTGCAAACAATAAAATTAATAAATACGATAAAATAAATAAATAAATAGCAAAAGAGGCTATAACTCAGCCATTTTTTAAATAATGAGCTGAGATTTGCTATGGTAGTAGCCAAGAGCAATCCCTAACAAGAACTGAATTCTACTTTAAAATTCAAGATGGCTGCTACAGCTCATACTCAAATGGCTACAACTATTAACTCAATTTAAAAACTTAAAGCTATTTTTTGTGTGGTAGAAGCTGAGAACTATCTTCAAAATGTTCCCTGAATCATGTTGATTCATACAGCAAGAGTATTAGGGCCACCCTAAGAAAAAAAAAATACGACAAAAAAGTCATAAAATTACGAGAATAAAGTTGTATGAGAATAAAGTTGAAATATTACGAGAATAAACTTGTAATATTACAGGAATAAAGCCGTAATATTATCAGAACTCTGACATTAAAAAAGTCATCTTACAACTGCGGTAAAATGATGAATGTTGAGCATCTTGTTAAGTTATATTTGGTATTGGTTTTACAAATAAGGAACTAATCTGTTAGCACATAAGCAAGTCTGCTGAAAAACAACAAAACCTCTTTGAATGGCAGGCAGTCGCCTTGCAGTCGTCCACTGCCAGAAAGCTCCTCTTCCACAAAACAAGCAATATCTTCCAAATCCATGTGGTTCTTTCTTCGAAACAGACATACAGTAGTCATTTGCACAATCATTTCAAAGTTCTGATACTGATAATAATCTGATGCTAACGTGCTAACAGATTAAGTATTTCCTTATTTGTAAAACCAATACCAAAGTATAATTTAACAAGATACCCAACATTCATCATTTTACCGCAGCTGTAAGACTGCTTTTTCGTGTTGGAGTTCTGATAATATTACAAATTTATTCTGGTAATATTACAAGTTTATTCTGGTAATATTACGAGTTTATTCTCGTAAAATTTTGACTATTCTTCTATGACTTTATTCTATTAATATTTTGACTTTATTCTCCAACGACTTTATTCTCCTACGACTTTATTCTCGTAATATTTTGACTTTATTCTCCTACGACTTTATTCTTGTAATATTACAACTTTATTCTCGTAATACTATGACTTTATTCTTGTAATTTTATGACTTTTTTTCTCGTAATACATATATTTTTTCTTAGCGTGGCCCTAATACTCCGTTGTAGATTCAAGATGAGAGAAGTAAAAAAAATGTGCACCAGGACGCAGGTCTGTTTTTAAGTTTCTCTGGGAACTCTACTACCGGTAGTTTTCAAGATGTCTTTAGACAATAAACAGCATACATTGACAGAATGGTGAGAGAAGCGGAGCTCTGTAGATTTTTAGCTAGCATGTCTGTATTGTGTGCCGCTAACTTAGTGCTACGTCAGTACTGGCAGTTGTTGAAGGGTGGGGGTGTGGGTGAAGGACTATTTCAGTAGGCGGTGCACTCGGTTCTGTTGACAGGGCGGGCAGGGGCACCCTTGTGTAACAGTAGGGGAAACACTGTTTGCAATAAAACGGGTTTTTTTTTTGTATTCTAACACTGGTTCGTCTTTGTTTTAATTTGTGGCGACAAAAAACATTTTAAGTAGTGCTAATTAATAATTATTATATCTAACAGACAGAAAAGGAAACACAGATGTTGTTAACCAACAAAGTCCATACCCAAAACATATCGTGATATATATTGTTATCGCCACCCTTCACAATACATATCGTGATATGAATTTTATGCCATATCGTACATTCCTAGTTTTGGGTATAAAACTTAATAGGAATTTTTTTTAAAGCATAGGGTGTCCTTTTGCTATCATATATTTTGAATTAAAAAAATTCCACTACTAGGTCCAGAGAGTTTTTAAATAATAAACAAATCAAGTATTAGGCTTCTTGCTTGTAGTGCAAAACAGTGCAAAATATATAAAATGTAGTTTTAGCCATATGTTTTGAACAAAAGAATATGTTGTTAACCAAACAGTTTCCAGTCTTCTCTTTTAGGAAATAAACGGCAACAGAGCAGCATTTTACACTGAAACACTTCACCCTCCAACCCTCTAGTGGGCGCCTCCTTCTGCTTTAATGGAGAGCTGACACAAAATGAGTCTGTGGCTTTGACCAGAGGGTCTCGCAGTAAAATCACACAACACAGCGTTCTTTTCACAGATCAGAGATAAAGCTGACCAACACTTACTTTAACAATTGACGGAAAAAAAAAAAAAAAACTTTCGACAGAACACAGCGTTTTGCGCATGCGTCAGAAGACGGCAACAATTTTTTTTTTTTTTTTTTTTTTTTTATTAGAACAATACAAACACAAAAAGACATACAAAGACAGTCACAATGACAACTTCACAATCAACAAACTCTTCAGAAAATATACATACAAAAAACCTCCCCAACAATATCCCGAGCGAAACCACAACATCTTAGTGCATTCTAAAAACTATTAACAACAAATTATAGGCGAGTAATCAGGGATAGAAAAATAATATTAACATCACAATAAAATAAAAACAAAAATAAAATAAAAACGTGGGGTTTATACCAACTTAAATTCTGATATTATTGAGAAAAGTTTGACTGCTGGGGCTGTATTAATTTTTTTCAAAGATTTACAAAATAATAATAAATCATTTTTTAATGCTTTTACAGCTGGAAGACATTTTGTAAAACGACATTTATGAATGTAAAATTTTGCAAACAGTATAATATTATTAATCAAATATTCAACTTTTTTATTCCTTATTGAAATTCCAAATTTTATTCCATTCCAGGAAAATGATTCAACTTGGAGAGATTTAGATATCACCCAGTTATATATTTCTTTCCAAAGATTATTTACAATTTCACACTCATAGAACAAATGTTCTGTTGATTCCGATAATGATTTACAAAAACGACACTCCTCCATTTCAAATTTAAAAATTCTTTTAATGAATTCCTGTGAAGGGTAAATATCATCTAGAATTTTAAAGTGGATTTCTTTAAATTTAGGAGGGATTGGAAATTTCAAAAATTTAGTTCTAACTGAACAAATTTCTTGTTTGTTAAAATTTTTTAAGTAACATGTTCTTTTAGAGGACCCAGGGTATATTTCTTCAATTAGGAGTTTTCTCAAAACCAGGTTATTGCACTTTTTATCTACAAAGTTTATGTTATTAATTATTATTTTATGTAATCTAGGGATTGGAGTCTGATCTAAATTATTCTTGATTAAATGAATCATAGCCCTTGGCGAAGACGGCAACACTACGGCAATCCGGCCGTAGTTAGCTTGTAGCTTCGCTACTTAGCTCTCGAAGAAAATACTTTAACGCCACTTGCGCACAGTTTTCAACTCAAAAAAAGTAACGATTAAAACGGACAGCTCTGATTTTACACTTGAACACCACTTATGCACAGTTTTCAACAAAAAAAAAAGTAACTATTAAACTGACAACTTTGATTTTACATCAGACACAGCATTACTGCGGTTAGCCGGTAGAAGACCGATCTCTATCGTAGGCTAAATTTCTATCGTTTCTACCGTATACCGTATATATCGCGCATTCCTATCAGCCGGTCAAGAGGGTTCTACAGGACCCTGTCATTTTGTTGAAACTCTTTGCCAAGTCAGGTACCACTTCATGTCTTTGGACCTGTTTTATATGAAGCGGCCTCTCTGGTGTCCCGTGTGCCTATCTGATGTGACGCCAGTGCGTCAGCCAATTATCGCTGAGCTAAGCTTGCTTTTTTTCTGAGTATGTGATGGCTTGTAAAAGTATGAAACAGTCAGGAAAAAGAAGATGAGGAAGAGAGTAATGGACGACATACATGAGAAAATAAGTTTCTACCACTTGTTTAACATTCTAGATCAAGCTCACACTCCATTGTTGTTGTAAGGACTAAGTTCTTAT